AATATATATAACAGTTTATTGATTTTTTTGTTACAAAAATGTTAAAACCGGGTTATTCTTGTCACACCAATCAACGTACATCTTAAACATTTTTATTTCATTTTTATTATGTCCGTACAAGAAACAGAAAACCTGTGGCATTGTTCAACAGCCCGCATGTTAACAACAGTGGGGCATCTGGTGAAGATTAGAGAATAACAAAAGAGTGAATGTGTTGTCCAGATTGAGAGACTTCCTCTTTGAGGACAGACTCACAAGCAAAGCAGCCATTCAGCAGTGGGATGGATCCTGACTACTAAAGAGGAAGAGGGAGAGAGAGACAGAAGAGAGAACAAGAATTTAGGGGGAGTGGTGGGAGAGAGATAGGAGGCGAGAAAGCGAGGCTCCACACGGCAGAATATAAATCTGTATGTTAACAGGACTAAAGCTCGGGGGTCTGAGTCGGCTTTAGTGTTGATGCTGCCGGGGGGTGATCATACAGCATGAAGAGGGGGTCTTTCTCTGTTAACTGTGGATCTGTRAAAATAGGGAAGTGGAACCCGCGGAATCTGTGAACGCCGGTTGTCAAGCACAGTGGTGGGCTGGTCGGAGGTCTCTGACCCCCTCATTTTCATTTCTTGGCGGAGAAGCGAAGAGCTAAAGAGACACAAGAGAAAAGGAAAGGTGACAGCGAAGGACCAGTGAGCCGCTTCCCTCTTTATTACCTTCATTCAAAAAACCATTGCATCCCATTATCAAAGCGATGTAGAGGCATTCTCTCCGATTGGAGGAGGAAGGGTCCCATTGACTGCTGAGGCTTAGCACCTCTCTAAAATCGCTAGCCCTTTCCATCAACACCYCCACCCCTCCCTCACATCACCCATATTCTTCTGCCTGCTGTTTTACTCTGTTCTCTCTTATCCAATCCCTTGTATTCTTGTTTCTTTTCACGCGACTCGGGAATCGGGCATCGCGTTTTAGTTGAAGTGGGTGTTTCTGTTATTGTGCTTGGTGCCTCTGCAAAGGACAGCTGAGCAGGGAGTTTGAAAGACAGCTTTGGAGATAATAAAACAGCAGACAGGAAAGAAAAGGGGAGACCTGGGGCTCCGGGAAGAACTGACAGAGAATGGTATGTGCACTGGGATGAAAAGAAAACTATTCATTGAGAACATTACCACTTCTGAGAGGAAAAAAAAGAAGAGGCAGTGTGACAAACATCTCTGCTGGTTTGATTCTGCTGTTCTTGTTGCTAAGCAAAGCCTCTAACCTGAAGTTCTTGGGGAGTAACTGATTATCCACAGCCATGAAAGGAAGCTCAGAGGAAAGCATTGAAAGTGTCAAGCCCTCCAATCTGCAAGCTTTCGCCAACATATCCACCCTACATGGCATGAGTCACATATTTGCCTATGGGCACATGACATTCCGGCGATTCCTTTGGACAATTTCATTTCTGGGTTCCTTAGCCTTACTGCTGGTGGTCACCATGGATCGAGTGTCTTATTATCTCGAGTATCCTCATGTCACCAAGCTGGACGAAGTGGCTGCAACAAACCTCACCTTCCCGGCAGTCACCTTCTGTAACCTTAACGAGTTCCGTTTCTCCAAAATCACCAAAAATGACCTCTATCATGTCGGAGAACTCCTAGCCCTCCTCAACAACAACCATCAAATAGCCAACCCACACTTGGCCGAGCCTGAGGTTTTGGCTGCCCTAAAGGACAAGGCAAACTTTCAGAAGTTCAAGCCCGCACTTTTCAACATGACCGATTTCTATAACCGGACAGGTCATGACATCAGTGACATGCTTCTGCAGTGCACCTTTCGGGGAGACGACTGCGGCACGCTGAATTTCACCACAGTAAGTTACCAGGCTGTATGTTTGTTTTATTTCCTGTCACGTCTGACATTCTGTCACATTGCTTTTATGCGCTGATAAGATTAGACTTGGCTTCCAAATGAATCGTGCAGTTTTTTTTAACAGATGCCCAACTTAAGTGTATTTGCTACTCAGTGAAAACATTGCAGTTATGTGATTCTTAAGTTTTGTAAATGCATTGAAAAACTTTGTTGCCTTTGTATTTTTGACCATGGGAAGGAAAGGTGAGGCACAGAGCTTCTTGTTAATCTAAGGATCTTAGATAATATTCTGCCAGAACGTCAGCTGTAATCTCTGAAGACAGTTTGGTTTCCTGGAGAACAGAAACATTTTGTGAATTACTGTGCGCATATCAATGTGATTTGAAGAAACATATTCCTTTTTCAAACTGTATTGCGCTGAGGTCAGAGATAGTTTAAGCATCACTGCTGCGTCATTGAGGATTACGTCTAATTTTGTTTTCTCTTTTACAAAGTTGGGATAACTGAATCTGTCTTTTTCTCCACTTAGAGTTGGATCAGGCAAATATTTTTGCATTTCTGTGCTGCTCTGTTTGTTTTAAAAATCTCTCTGTTGTCAGTAAAAAACACAAACAACAACAACAAAAAATTAATGTAACTGTATTTTTCTTTCAAATAATTTATACTCTTCTCAGCTTGATCCTGTATGGTTGTTGTGTATTGCTCCTCATTCACTGTAAAGTATGAATGAAATCTACTAAAACCCAAGACACAATAAAAATATGTCAATGGTTGAACAAGACCTCACCAAGTTATTATAACAATTAACCAGAAGCATTACAAGATTCTCTGTGTGGTTTGATTGCAGTGTGTTCTCAGCTTGTTGCAGCCCAWCCACTATTCTTTATCAGATTGGGATCAGTTGATTTTGCGGGCCAGGTTAATGGACCAGCCTTTTTGTCTTGGTTCTTGGCGCAGTCCTTAGTGGATTTGGTGTTGCAGCAGTTTGCGTGTTCATGGTCGATAATGGAGCTTTCATCAGGCAGGGCTGTCACATAGAAAGTTTGTGATTGATCTGCAATTATGTTTGGGTGGGCAGAATAAAGTGTCGGAGAAATATATACTAAAATGTCAAGACCAAAGGTTTATCAGCACATTTCATTTTAGCGAGATGATCAATTTTTATTTCATCTGTCAGTCAAAAATGTGACTAATAATTGAGTGTTATTAGTAAACTTGTTTATTTGATGGTATGCAGCAATAGTTTTTGACAAACCAATGACTGAAGAATGAAATAAAAATCTTTAAATGAGACATACCATGCTTTTAAATCCTTCTTTTTCACATTTAAATCATTCAATTGGGGTCTACATGAAGTGGAACTGCAATTCTTTGGTCTGAATTTCTTTTTATTATAACACCACAAACCCCTCTTTCACCCCTTTTCTGATGTGTCTTAAAGCAACTAATTTTTAGGCTGTCTCTTTAAATCCAATCAAGGTGCCATTGTACTTTAAAAGAGGGTTTTATGACTATATAGCAGCGCAGAAACCTGTTATTTACAAATTAATTAAAATAYATCAACAACTGAAAACTAGAGCCAGAGTCTGACCCAGAGCTAGAGAAAAATGAAGACAACAAAATTTGTTAGTTGCTAAGTYCATATTTAGAAGTTCTGTTGCAAATACTGTGAAGTAAAAGTTCAGAAAACATCATAAAATATTGAAAATACTGTAGAAGGGGATGAAAAATATGACCCAAACATGGACTAAATTTTAATTTTCTGCACTCCTAGAGACTCCAAGTACACAGCAAAATGCATTTAATGGATAAAAAAGTGAATTTTACATGATACGTCCCCTTTAACTTGAACTTGGGTTGTGTATTCTTTAACCCAGGTGCACCCTGAGACATGCTTATRTGAATAAATGGGTTAAAATACATGGATTAAATTCAAGTTAGAGTGATTYGAAATGTTGTCTCAAGGATTCTAAAACATTCCGGTTGCTTTGCACTGGGCTCTGTTAAGTGCAGCTTTAAGAATGTCACTTACGCAGATAATGTGACCATAACTCTGAAATTATCTGAAACTTTTATGTATTGCAGTTCAGCAGTAAATAATTGTAATACATCTCTTCTAAGTTGTGTCTTTAATCAACCCTTAAGAAATCGTGTAAGAAAGATATTTTATAAGTGACTGTCTTTCCAATCTGCAGAGTTGATCAGCTCTCCTCTTTGCTGCGAACAGAAAGAGTGATTTGATTGTGCTTTTCAGTTTTATGTCTTTAAAAATTGTGTCATAAATATTGCGAATTGGGAGTACCTTCATTTACATGTTTGTTTCCAAGCAGCGCTCAGGAGTGTCTTGATAAACAAAAATTATTCATGGGAAGCTAATTGCTGTTGTGCTGCTTGACAGAAAAAGCTTCAATGAGCTGGTTAGAATTTWCTTTCTTTTTTTTAAATGAATTTTGTTTTTCTACTTGTCAACTCGCTGTTCARTAAATGTAGTGGTCTAGAAACCTGGAATTCCTCCTGGCCAGGAATGAATAGCATCAAAATCGAAGAGTCTTTTTGATTCCCATTAATCATGGTGGCATGTTGTTTTCGAAGGCGTGCTTAAAGCAGTGCAAAGCCACTTTCACTATACCCTCTCAGTATGTGTTTGTCAGAACTCGGATAAGAACCAGTTTGAAATAATTGTGTCTGATAATAATCTCCAGCAACTAACTACAAATGCTTCTTGCTCTGTAAGAGTTTAACTGAGTTCTTCATCTCCTTCCGTGGAGAAAGCTCATCAATCTTATTGTTTATGAGAAACATTTGAATGAAAACAAAATCTCATGTTGATGATTTAGCATGTTGCATTAGGCTGATTACATGTTAGTTTTATGTTGTTTTCCTATGTAGTCGCGACACGCCGAAACTTTACTGAAAATATTCAGTTATTCAAATGATACCCACAGACATGTTGAGAGAAGGAATTACATTGCAGAGGGTTGTGGGAGTGATGAGCTTTGACCTTGAATAAAAGATGGAAGAATTCATTAAGGGTTGGTTATGATGCAGTTTGGAAACAAAGCATTCAAAAATGTTTTGCATCATAATGGATGGAAGGCTAAGGGGAGACTGCCACTTTGTATTTCAGATGCTATTAGCTGCTTTTTCCTCTTTATGATTGCAGTCAGGCATATTTAACCAGTTTCATGAAAATACTTTTTTTCCTTTTCTGTCTCAGTTTGACTTTCTAAAACATATGTGGAATTTAAGTTTAAGAAAGGATTAATGTCTGTCTAAAACGCATCTAAGACGAGTAACAATCACACCATTCCAGACACTGTTATAAAGGAGGTGTTTGTGTTTGTCATTGTCAGTAACGTTAATAGTCACATTGCTTACTGAAAGGCAGATTCAGACCTTTTGTGTTTKGTGGAGCACTTTTCATGTATACATCCCACTGCAACACTATCTGTGTCTCCATGGAAGGATCATCTGAAAATGTGCATCCTTCTCCCCATTTGTAATTTAGATTGCATATTCTCTCAGTGATAGCTTGTCAAACTGAATTGATTTTGACCACAGATAAAAGCCTGCCAATTGTCCATTAATTTGGAGCTGCATTGTCCTCCCCATCCGCTTACTGAATGTTGAAAATGTTGCTAGGCGTGAGAGACCAAATCCTCCAAACTAAAATCTAACRATGGAAATGGCATTCATAAAGATTTGGACTGTGCAGTAAAATGTGCCTATATTGGTTGCTTATTGTCAGAGTTGTTGTAAAGGTCAACAAAGAATATGCTTACAGCATTTGGGTGACATTCTTGCATGTTTATATCTGTTCCACCGAAAACAAATCCTCCTCTCGACACCAATTTAAAAAGGCAACAGTGCGTAATCTGGAGCCTGGAGCTACTAAGACAATTGTGGTTGGTGTAAAGCAGTATAAACAAATCAATATCTCCCCAACCCTGAAAATGTCACACTTTTTGGCAGCCCTGACACTGTGGAAACAAGTCAACTGCAACACCAGTCAAATGTTTAGACACTTCACTCTTTGAGAAGTTTTCACTGGTACTGGCTATATATGTTTTTTATATATGTTTTTTAGAACAACTTCAAAAATGTAATGGGAAATGTGGTCAACTTATAAAACCTGGCTCTGACAATAATTGTCTTCAGGCTATTTACTTTACAAAATACTTCTCAAATCTTGTTCCAAATGCAGTTCAAGGGGGGATTAAAGGTTTTTCGTAAAAATTCAGGAAAATTGGGAGGAAAGTCAGTGTTATTTAATTATAATGTATTTGTACCATATTAACAGTATATAGTATATTTAGGAAAATGACCTTTACCCACAAAGATCTACTGTCTTGCTGGGACTCTTAAAACCCTTCATGTAAATGACACCTGTCTTGATGACAGACCATAGTTCATGATCAAGAGGTTGATTATCATAATAGCATAAATGTTTTTTCTTTTTGTTCTTAAGCCTTGACAGGCCGCACCAAGCTATTCTTGGCTATATATCTGCTCATTCTTACAGGGACTGTAAAATCAGTATTCATCATCACATTTTTGCAGGAGCTCAGTTTTTAAGATGAGAGCCATCTTTCATCTTTATGTCCAGATGACAGCAGGGTGCCAAGGGAATAAAGCATGGTTATATAGTTGAGTCTGACATAATGTGACTTGTAGATCTATACATGGATAGACAACTTTTTTCAAGCAGCAGTTTAAACATTTGGAGGCTCATTGTTTTTACTAAAATGGCCTACCTGAACCAGATGGGTGATGTTTCAAGTAATAGTATTGTTGGAGATCACAGACACATGCCAGCTTTGAGGTGGACCTTGGTTATTTATAGTAACTATCAAATTCGGCCAGAATAATGTCCAAATTGCAATGTTTAGAGTGCATTTATTTTCTTTACTAGRGTTCATTTGGCAGAGTTAAATACTGCTTTTCAGCTAATGTTTTAAACTTCTTAGTCCTTCGCACATTTTTTGTTAACTAAATTCCAAT